TGCAGCTGGAGCCCGTCCCTGCTCCATGGGGAGCCATCCCCCTCCCTGCCTGGTGCTGGGGTGCTGGTAGAGGATTCCTGTTCCCCCAGCCAGGCCTGTGGCTGTCACCACCGGGGCTTTGTCTCAAAGGGCAGCTTATTCCCATCCTTCCCCCCCCATGGCGTTTTCATCGGCTTTTGGTTGAGGATTAGGCACATGTTGACAGAACAAACATTTTGCTGCCCTCAAAATCCACTGCTGAGGAGAGAAGCGATGTCCTTGCTCTGCCAGTGCCTGAGCCAGCCCCAGGATGAGGAAAGCCAGGATGGGGAGAGCTGGGATGGGAAGAGCTGGGCTTGGGGCCGGGACAGCCCTTCAGGGGGAACACAGAACCATTTGGGGTCACGTCCCACACCAGGGCCAGAGCTCTGGCTCTCTGCTCCCTCACAGAGCATTAATGACTTTGGGCTTTAATATCCTGCCCTGAGAAACCAGGGATGCCACAAGGAATGCTGCCTGCCTCCAGCGGGGCCTTGGCAGATGCTGCGACCCAGGTCTGTGGGGAGCTCTGTGTCCCCCTGCCCAGCTCCTGGTACCTGTCACAGCTCCTCCTCCCCAGACCAGGCTCCAGGAATGGTGGCTCCTCATGGTGTCTGGGCGGCTGAGGAGACCAGGGGTGCCCATGAGCTGCCCCCAGGGTCATGTGTTTGTCAGGGAAAAGTAAATCCCTCCAAGCTCTGAGGCTGCCCAGGGCCTGTGCAGTGGGGGAAGGCAGAACATGTGGGACCTCATTTGGGGTCCTGCCCCTCTCCCACACCATTTTTTCCCTGTGTGAGCCCCCAGGTCCTGGCTCCTTGCTGAGCCCCCAGGCCGAGGTGCCTGAGCTGGGCGATGCTCAGGGAGTGACACGTTTCCTTCGGGGCCGGGTGAGTCACGGCTGAGTCATGGCTGGCTCTGCTGAGCAGCCCCAGGGGACCCACAGCTCCATGGAATGCTGCAGGATGTGAAGCTGCCTCGTCCCTTGTGGGGTCCCTGCCCTCTGTACAGGGGGGCACAGGGGAGCCCTCCCCTCCCTGCTCCCCTGGGGCTGCAAATCTGGCTCAGCAGGTCAGGAGCAGTAGGAGGGAAGTGACTCTGGTCACCCTGCAGCCCTTCGCCTTCCAGCCCCACCAGCTCTTACTTTGAGCTGAGACCGGGCTGAGTGTGGGTTTTGTGGTTGCTTTTAGGGTCTTTCCTCTGGGGCGGAACCTTCTGCAGGCTCTCCTGGGCTGGTCAGCACAGGAACCGAGGGTAAACCACTGCCAAGAGCCTGCCCTGCTCCTGGGGCACCGCGTGCTGCCCCAGTGCTGTGTGTCCCCAGGAGAGCTGGAGCTGCCCGTGCCACCCGCTCCCCCCGGGCTGCTCCCCTGCCCAGCAGCTCCCACGCTCCCGGGGCTGGCACTCCGTGGGGCCGCTGTGCCCGGGGATCGTTTTGCATGTGGGGAGAACCAGCGGCAGCAGAAGAATGAATTTGCATTTCTCAGTGGCGCCCAGTGTGGGAACCGAAGCCGCGGAGGGTTTTCGCTGCCGCTCGGCCCCGCGCGGGGCTGTGTGAAAAGACAACATCCCGTCCGCTGGCACCGGGCCCGGCCCGTCTCACCTGGCTGCCCGTGTGTGCCTGGGAACGGCCCCGGGCCCACAGCACAGCCCGGCCGGGCTGGCCCCGCTGCCCCATTCCTGGTGTGCCAGGATGAGGGCTGATGGTGAGCAAACAGGAATACGGTGCCTGGGGGACGTATTTTGGGGGGTTCTCCCGTGCTGGGTGTGATCTGGGGTTCAGGTGCTGATGCAGCAGCCACATGAAGAGCCCAGTGCAGGATCCTTCCCCACACAGGGGCTTTCCCTCCTCTGCACCCCAATCTCTGGTGAGGGTGACAGTGTGGGGGGAGCCATGACCTTCCCTCACCCTGCAGGGAGCGGGACGCGCCCAGCCTGCCCTGAGCCCTCTCTTCCTGGCACCGCCATGCGACCCACAGCCATTTCCAGGCTTTTAATCCCAAGAGACAAAAGCAGGAGTTTAACGCAACTGGAGGAAGAAAAGAGCAGGGCTTTGGGCAGGGAACAGCAAACACAGTGGTGGATCTGCTGCTCCCGAGATCTCCCCTGCGTCACCCGGGGTTTGCACTGGCAGCGCTTGGCCCGGCTGGGAACCCAACCCGTGGGGTGCTGGGGGAGGTGGGGTGGCCAGGATGGAGAGCTGGTGGTCCAGGGGCCGGGCTGAGGGCCCTGCCATCATCCTGGCATCTTCACCCACCTCCGGCTTGTCCTTCCTCAGCTGCCATCCCAGGCACAGCCGGGCTGCAGAAGGGACTGTGACACCCCAGGGCCAAACACTGTCCCCCTCCTGTCACCGTGGGGTGTGAAGGAGCCTTTGATGGGGCCGGGTGAGCACCTCTGTGTCCATGCTACCAGTGTGGAGCAGACATCCACCCCTGCACCCCTGCACAGGGTTGGCTTCTGCAACACCCCCTCTGTGCACCCTCAAGGGCTGCCCTGGAGTGCAGGTGACACCCCAGTCCCACCTGCAGCAGCCCGGGAGCACCAGGAGCCTCAGGCAGTGGGGATGGGATGTCAGGGCAGTGGCCAGGACTCGAGCAGGGCTGTAGTGCAGCAGTGGGGACCCAGTGCCAGAGCAGGGCCGGGAGCCCTGTCCCCCCTGTCAGGGTGGGGGCCGCAGCAATAACGTGGCTGTTTGCCCCGAGCACACACAGGGCCCTGTAAACAGGGTTTATGGCAGCAGCTGGGAGATGGAGGAGCTGGGGGGGTAATAAAGAGGAGTGGCCCTGTGGCCCTGCTCGCCCCGGGGCTGCCCGGGAAGTGGGAATGTCTGACGGGATGAGGAGGAGTCTGGGGGATGCAGGTGGTCTTGGCTCTGGAGCGATCCCAGCAATCTGGGAGCTCTGGACACGCTCCTTGGTAGATCTGCACGGGGCCATTGCACCATGAAAAGCCCCTCTGTGCACACCTGTGGGTTTCTGCACTCGCACTCCCTGCCCTTGGGGTAACTTTGGGCTCTGTTGCAGAGCACTTGTCACCTCCCAGGTCCCTTCCAAGGGGTGGGGGGGATGTATTAAAGGTACTTCAACCATTTCAACCATTTCCGGGCTCCTTGGGCTGCAGAAAAGCCTGAGGGTGCCCATCCTGCAGCCTGAGAGTGGGGATTCACCCTGATTCAGCATCACCCTGAGGCACAGACATGGGGTGCAGGATGTGGCCTCAGAGGGACCCCAGCTCTGCACGGGGACCACCACTGTCCCCAAACACTGTGTGGGAACTGGAGCAGAGAAAGTCCCACCACTGCAGGGGACCAGGAAGCACAACTGCGTGCGGGGACAAGTCGGGCTCCGTGGTCTCTGTGGTTTGTGCAGTGACATCAAGGGCCTTCAATAGTTTTATTATATGTGACATGGCTGCTTATCTATTATTCTTGTGATGGAGCCAGAGATTAGTTGTGAGCAGGTGGGCAGAGATTCTTCCAGGCTGATTCATGAGTAGTTTCTCCATGTCTCCTCTCTGGCCGCGTTCCCAAGCGCTCACAAGTTCCATGGCAAAAGGCACCGGAATCGGAGCCGATGGGTTGACAGGGAGGACAAGGAAAAGGCACTGAAAACTGTGCACTCGGGGCAGAAAAGCCAGACTCCGTTTCTCTCTTTTGCTGTTCCTCAGGTGTTGCAATCCCTCCTTTTCCTGGTTTGCATGTGCAAGCAGAGCTGTGCGAGCTGCGATTGCGAAAGGTGCGGGGAGAGCCCGGCACGGGGAGAGCCCGGCACGGCCAGAGCTGGTGACACCCCAGGCAGCTGGAGAGGTGTCATTTTGGGGCCTTTTGCCTGGTTTTGCAGTGCTGTGCTGCCTAGCTCTCCCTGAGCCCAGAAAAGCAAATGTTTTCCTCTTTAATCTCTTACTCTTATCAAGATCCCGGTGCTGCTGATAAGAGGAGCAGGGAAAGCTCTTTCAGGTGTGAGTCGGGCAACAGGCTCCCAGACAGCCCAGGCTGAGGCGGGTCTGGGATGCTCCGGAGCAGGGACCAGGGACTGCTGGTGCATCCCCTCTGCCTGGTGACGTCTCGCCCAGTGTCCCCAGTTGTGCTCTCCTCCTGACTCCCTCGGGTGCTCTGGTTCGGTGTTTGCTCTGGTGAGAAGTTGTAAAGAAACCCAATAAACGAGGGTGACCTGGAGGTGGTGTCACAGCAAATCCAGCTCTCAGAGCCCATGCAAACCATAACCTGCTCCCCAAACATGCCCCTCACACAGCCTGGCCATGGGGCAGCAGCACAGAGTGGCTGCAGGAAGGGTGGGATGGGCGCTGTGGCTTCCCAGCGTGGCTTGTGTGAGCCTGGTGTGGAGTTCACACGGGATCTCACCCTCCTCCTCAGTCTCCCTGGCTGAGACACCTGCATTCCCGTGCTCCGGGGAAGGTATCCATGCTTGGAGGGCTGCAGCCCTGGGGCTTTGCTGGGATGCTCCTGCCCCAGGTGCCCTCAGGAGGTGTGGGGTGGGACACAGGAGCGGGTTTGGGTGCCTGTGGGGCCTTGCCCAAAGCAGAGGATGCTCTGAAGAGGGTGGGGGGGCTCTGCTATGGCTGCCAAGAGTCAGGAGCACTGAGGGGGGACTCTGGGGGGCCTGGAATGCCCTCCTGGCTGTGCCACATCCCCATCCCACGTGCCCAACCCCTGGCAAAGCCTGACCAGGGACTGGTGGCAGCCGCTCTCCCAGGGGTCCTCCCCGTGTCCCCCCCAGCCACCGCCACGTGTTCCAGGCTGTGTTTACCAAAACAGCTCCACTGGGACATGGGAACCCTGATCCGGGGGGAGCTTTCCCCACGATAAGATAACATTGAGGAGTTTGAAAAGGAGGCAGAAACTCCTGGTGCTGCCGATAGCAGCAAAGGCCTTTCCCAGCCCCCGGGCCGGGGTCGCCTCCCCCCGGGTTTTATTTTCCTCCCAGCAAACATTTCCCAAGGGTGGCTTATTGGCCTTGCCAGCTCTGCCCCTCCATGGGCTGGGGACGGGCCACTGGGCCGTGGTGACGTGGGGCCGACCTGAGCTGCCCCGTGGGTGTCTGTGGTGGGGTTTGGTCTGACGTGGGTATTTAGGGCATGGGGGAGTTGGATTTTAGCAGCGCTACGTGTGTGGGAGAACCGCCTGAACTGCCCTGCCTGCTTCATGGGCTAAAAAAAAGACCATAAATACCAACTGGGTGTCTGTCTCGCTCAGAACAGCTTTTTCCTGCTCATGCCGGTGGAGACAACCTGGGCCCGGAGTGCTGCATGTTCCGGCCGTGCCCCCCTGCCAGTCCCACCTGCAGCAGCAGCCACAGACCCCAGGCTCTGACCAGTGCTGTGTCCCTGGGGTGAGGAGGGTTTGGTGGTGTCAGGGGCTCCCCTCACCCCCAGTGGCTCCGAGCCCTCTCGATCACAGGCTCTGTGACAAACCCCCGGTGGCTGCAGATTTGGGTAGGGGATGGTCCCAGGGTTTGGGTCAGGGATGCTCCTGGGTTATCCCTCAGGGATGCTCCCACCTGCTCTGGGAGCTGTGCCAGGGGCCTGGCCAGGGGCTCCCGGGCATTGACAGGTCTCTGTGCTGCAGGTCTGACTCCAGAAGAGCCGTTGGTCTCGTCCAGGTGAGGCTGGAAGGGGTTAACGGTGGCCGGGTTTGCCCCGCTCCCCTCCCCGGGCCCGTTCGGGTCCGAGCCCGGCGCCTGCCAAGGGTTAACCCGGCCCGGGCTGTTCAAACACCTCGGCTGAGGTAAGCGCCGCTTGTTTGTTCAGGTAAATAAGGAAGGAATTGGATATAATGGGCAAAGGAGGCTCTGGCTGAGCCGTGACATTCGCTGCCGGGTCCCCCTCGCACACCGCGCTCGGCTCCGTCCGTCTGCCGCCCTCGGGGCCGGTCCCTGTCCCTGTCCCTGTCCCCGTGCCCGTGTCCCTCCCGTCGGTGTCCCCGGAGCCGATGTGGCTCAGCCGGGCCGTGCAGCCGCCGCGGGGCCGGCGCTGAGCGGGGCAGGAGCTGCTGGTCCCCCCCGGACCGTGCCGGGGCCCCCCTCGGGGCCATGCCCCCCACAGCCACCGCACCCAGCACCACGGGGATGGCTCTTCCCACCCTGCACCGGGACCCATGTGGATTGTGAGCTGCCCGCGCACCCTCGAGGTAAGACATGACCCCCCGGCTCCATCAGCACCCACCCGACTCACCTTCCCCCCCTCCAGGGGCTCCCACAGCCCTTTCAGCACCAGTGTGGGGAGGACAGGGTGCATGTCAGTGTCCCATCCCACAGCTCCTTGCACCTCCAGGTGCCATTAAGGCTAAACAGGGACAGGCTGTCCCTTGGCTCGGGGTTCTGGCACTTCTTGGGATGGTGTCACCCAACATTAAATGGCATTTGCTAATTTTGTGTCTTTGCAACCCCCTGTTGCTCAAGCAAGGAGGGTGGGAGCCAGGACTCCCTGGGCTGGCTCCCCCCAAGCCCACCCGGTACCAGCAGGGCCCCTGAGGGTCCCAGCAGCCCCTGTGCTGGCAGGGAGGGTGTCCTTGGGGCTGTGTGACTGCCCAGCAGCCGGGGCTCCTCGTGGAGTGGCCCAGGGCCCAGGTGGCCACCAAGGACCCGCCAGCTCCAGGGTGTCTCTGTGCAGCTGAACCCCTTTTCCAGGCTTGCAGTGTCCCAGCTGCTCTCTTGAGGGGTGGTTTTTCTGTCAGCCCTGAAGTCCCTTTGGCTGCGGGTCTGGTTTTCGTGGTTCTGCTCGGTTGGTGAAACACAAACGCGGCGCGGCTGCCAAGAACCCACAGTACGGGCATTCTGCGGGCTGGGAGCACGGGGGGGAAGGGGCTGCTATAAATAGGGGCTCCCTGGCCCCACATGGGGAACACCAAGCTCTGCTGCTCACCTGGGGGACACCCAGCACCGGGCTCTGGTCAGGTCACTGGCAGGTTGTGCCGCTGCTGTTTGCCTCCCCGTGCCGATGGAGAGGGCGGCCTGACCCGGGCTGTGGGGACCCGTGGGGACACCTGGTCCCCGTGCCAGCAGCCATGCAGGTAATGGCAGGAGGAGCTGGGGGACCTTGGTGGTGTTGGAGGAGGCTGGTGGGGAGCTAAGGGTCCAGGACCCCTGGGATGGGCTGCATCCCTCCTGGCTGTACGTTGAGGTGGGCCCAGGGCTTGCCCTGCTCCCAACCCTGTGACCACACAGCTACCAGAGCTCAGTCCCCAGGCTGTCACCTTCCCAGTCCCCCAGTGCCCTTCCCAGTCCCTGCCCTGGCTGTGGGGAGGTTTTGGCCAATCCTCCTCCCTCCACCCAGAGATAAGAGGGGTGCGTGGCACAGGGTTTGGCAGCCAGGAGGGACGTGGCACGGCTGGCACTGTGGGGCTCACAGGGTGGATGGGACATTCTGACAGGACCCCAAATTATCAGCAGCCTCTGAGCACTCATCTGGGTCCCTGCTGCAGCTCTGGCTCGTGCAGGGACCCCAGGTCCCTTTGCCTGCTTAATCCAGGCTGCTCCGGGCAGTCTGGGACAGCTCTGGGTGCCACATGTCCCTGGTTCCTCCTGTCCCAGCACAGCATGTCCCTGTCCCTGTCCCTGTCCCTGTCCCCAGCCTCAGCCTGGGGCTGGAGGTGACTCTGGACCCCAGCCCTGGCCCCCACCCCTGCTGCCTGGGAAGGGCTTTGGGAAGTGCCTGGGGGTTTGGGAGACATCCCGGGTGCCACAGGCAGCACCTCCTCGTACCCTGGGCCAACCTCCGTGGGCTCACGGGGCTTCCCGAGCTCCGGCACAACCTGTTCCACCGCGGGTTGGGTTTAATTAACGGGCCCATTGTTCCAGGGTGGGGGGTGGGTGAATTTCTGATATTTATTTTTTTCTCGCTCCCAAGGGCTGATCCCAGCCCTGCACCACTGCTGGGCCCTGAGCCACGGGGGTTGTGTTTGCCAGGAGAGTTCGGGGTGACACGGGGGGTCCTTGGCCCCATCCCCATCCCCCTTGGCTGTGAGGTCCATGTGGGGTCGGGTCCCTGCAGAGCTGCAGAGCTGAGCTGTGACCCAGCACCACCCACAGCCCCGGGCTCACACTGGCCTTGTGCCCTGGAGAGCTCAGGAGCCCCATCCCAGCCCTGCTGCCCCATCCCAGCCCTGCTGCCCCATCCCAGCCCTGCTGCCCCATCCCATCCTGTGGATCTGGGGCCACACTCAGCCCGTCAGCAGCCAGGGAACCTCTGCCAGGGCTGATGTAACAACCAGAGCAGCCTCGTCCAGCTCGGGCAGGGAGTGGGAAGGGTTTGGGAGTCCCATGAGGGTCAGTGCACTTGGGGCTGCCCCTCCAGCTCTTCTTTTCCAGGGGAAATGCAGAAAGGGAGAGAAGAGGAGAGGGAAACAGGCACCCAAAGCAGCTTCTGGGCACAAACAGGTCCCACCCATCCCGGCTGCCAGAGCAGGAGAAAGTCAAACAGTGGCCCCCGCCCTGAGAGTACAGTGCCCTTGGTGGGGCACAGCACGGGCTTTTGGGGACACTTCCCAGGGTTTGGGTCCCTCTGGTCCCAGATGGGAGGAGAGGAACAGGATGGGGCTGGGGCTGTCTGTCCATGTACAGGTCCCCAGCCCCGCTCTTCCCTGTGTCCGGTTTACAGCTGTGGAGGATGCACCAGGACCTCAGAGCATTGGAGGTGTTGGAGACCCCCATCCCCTCCCCAGACATCCCCATGGCAGCTGCACAAGCTGTTACCACTTCCCTTTTGTGCCAGGAGCAGCGTGGGGCTGGATTTAGGGCTGATCTCCTACGGCTCTTCTTTTAATCCCAACCAAATCAAGGAGAGCTTTGGAAGTCAGTGCCATCTCTCAGGGAAACTGTTTGGGTGGTGGGGGCAGCTCAGTGATCTGGGCACCCCTTCTCCCTCCTCCTCCTCTCTGTGGTGCCACGGAAACCGTTCAGGGACAGGGGCTCCAGCTCTTCACCCATAACCCCTCCCCAGCTCCCTGTGGGCTCAGGAGCCGTGGGGCTGTTTAGGTGTCCGTGGTTCCTCTGTGTGTTTTTTTGAGCTCTCCAGGCTTTTCCAAGGGTGAAGTGATGGGCGTTTCCCCCTCGCTGGGGTTTGGAGCAAACAGGACCCCCCCTTTCCCTGGCCAATGCCCCCTGTTCTCCTTCAGGGCTGCCTGGTTTCCTTAGGGGGGCTTGTCATGCTCCTTTCCCAGTGTCAGCTCTGTTGTTAAAGCTCGTTTTTCTGCTTTTAAACCACCAATTTTGGATGGTTCTTCCTTTTCTTCTTGTAAAATGCAATGCTGGAGGCAGAGGAGCTGGGCAGTGGCCTGGCCATGCCCATCACCAGCTTCTCCCTGGCAAGGGCTTCCCCTTCCTGAAGCCTCAGGATGGCTCTTGGGGAGGTTTATCCACGGATGGAGCCATTCCCTGGTGTTGCCATGGAAATTCAGCAGGTTCATCCTCTTCTCCATGGTCTCCAGGACTCCCTGCATACAGAGACAGATGGGGACAGGCTGATTTTGGGCAGTTTTTCTTGCAGGAGAGTGAGGGTAATTGCAATTACCCTTTCTTGCAAGCAAAGTTCTCATCCAGGAGCTGGCATTGGTGACCAAGGGCCCGGTGCTGCGGTGCTGGACTGGGGCTCACCGGGGAGATCTGGGGGCTGGGGGCTGCTGTGCTGGGGCACCCTCAGGTGGCAGCAGCAGGAGAGGTTTGCCATGCACAGGAACGTGTCCGTGTGGCTCAAACATCCCCTGTCACCCCAGGGCTGCCCTGCACAGGTGTCAGGAGCCCCCTCAGTCCCCTGCTGCCTCCTGCCAGGGCCTCAGCTCCAGCTGGAACTGAGCTGCTGCCAGCCTGATGTGCAATCCATGGGGACCCTAAACACCCAGGGGGTCAGATCCTGCTGGGCTCCTTCTCCCTGCCAGCTGCTGCTGCTGGTCCCCCCAGCCGAGGACAGCCCCCCCAGCCATGGCTGACCCCGAGCCCTCACTCATCCCGAGGCTTGCAGGGCGCCGGGGGGCGAATTTGGAGGTTTTTTGGTCTCTAACAGGCTTAGTTCCTCCCTTTGTGCCCGGCTGCTGGGCGGGAGGGCAGGAGCAGCGCCGGGCTGAGCTCTGCTCCTCTCTCCTCTCCAAGCAGGTTTGGAGCCGGTGCTGAGCGGAGGGATGGGCAGTGCCAGCCCTGGGCTGACCGCTCTGCCCCCCGGCCGCCTGGCCTGGCCGGACCCTGCGCCGCTGCCGCCGCCCCGGGACCCCGGAGCCCGGAGCTGGGGCTGCCCCGAGAGCCCCAGCCCCCCCGGCACCCCCGAGCAGCCCCTGCCCGCCTTCTGCCTGCACTACTTCGACATGCTCTACCCCGAGGACGTGGCCTGGGCCACCAAGGGCGTGGGGGAACCGTCCCCCAGCGGCGCCCAGGGCGGGCGGGAGGAGGCGCGGAAGGAGCCGGAGCAATGTCCCATCATCGACAGCCAGGGCCTGGGACTGGGGCCCGACGGGGACCTGCAGGGCAGCCTGCCCCTGGAGGAGCACTCGCTGGAGCAGGTGCAGAGCATGGTGGTGGGAGAGGTGCTCAAGGACATCGAGACGGCCTGCAAGCTCCTCAACATCGCCGCAGGTGGGTGCCCCGGGCGGGGGGATGTGCTGGGGGGGGAGCCAAAGCTGCACTTTGGGGGCTGGGGGAGCGCGGCTGCTCCCCAGGGAAGGAGGCTGCGGTTCCCATGGGGGGAACCGGCTGGCTCTGCTCACCCCACACCTCCAGACCCCACAGACTGGAGCCCCGGGAACGTGCAGAAGTGGATCCTGTGGACGGAGCACCAGTACCGGCTGCCGCAGATCGGGAAGTCCTTCCAGGAGCTGTCGGGGAAGGACCTGTGTGCCATGTCTGAGGAGCAGTTCTGCCAGCGCTCGCCTGCCTGTGGGGACATCCTGCACGCCCACCTCGACATCTGGAAGTCTGGTGGGTGCCAGGGACTGGGAGGGAGCTGGGGAGGGTGGGCAATGCAGGGTGTGCAGCAGGAGGTGCCCTCCTGACCCCCCCACTCCTCCCTTCCAGCCGCCTGGATGAAAGAGAAGGCTGCCCCTGGAGATGTAAGATACTGCGGTGAGTTCTGTGTGGGCTCAGCTCCACTGGCCCTGCTCCTGCCTCAGGCAGGTCTGGGGTACTTTGAGGGGGTCTCTCCCTGCTTAATTGCAATTATCTGGCTCACTGGAGTGGCTGTTGCTGTGAGATCTGTGTGGTTACACAGATCTGCCCCAGAGCAGCCCCAGGGCTCTCTGCAAAGTGCAGCAAAGGGGGAATGGCCACAAGACCCTCGCTGGCCCCAGCCCACATCCCCTGCAGCCCTTCAGGCTGTACGAGGGCAGGACTGAGCTGTTCTTCCTGCTCCAAGATGAAGAGGAGAAAATGAAGCTTCCAGACCCAGCGCCTGGTCTGAGTCTGGCACCGAGCTGGGGTTCCCCAGATGACTCGTGCAGGTCCCTGGGATGGAGCACAGCAGTGAGTTCTCCCCCTCCCTCCTCTCACCCATCCCTTCCCGTGGCAGGGGGTGACTCCAGCTGGGCCGACAGCGAGGTGGATTCGTCCTGTGCTGGGCAACCCATCCACCTCTGGCAGTTCCTCAAAGAGCTGCTGCTGAAACCCCACAACTACGGGCGCTTCATCCGCTGGCTCAACAAGGACAAAGGTGTGGGGGGGATGCTCTGGAGGCCCCGGGGTGGGCACCGGGGGGGTGGGGAGCGGGCAGGGAGCTGCAACCAACCCCCCGTGCCCCGCTCCCCTCCCAGGCATCTTCAAGATCGAGGACTCGGCGCAGGTGGCCCGGCTGTGGGGCATCCGCAAGAACCGCCCGGCCATGAACTACGACAAGCTGAGCCGCTCCATCCGGCAGTACTACAAGAAAGGGATCATCCGCAAGCCCGACATCTCCCAGCGCCTCGTCTACCAGTTCGTGCACCCGGTGTGAGCGGGACGGCTGAGCCCCGGCAGGGACAGGGCACCTCCCTCTGCCCCCCAGCCACGGAAACCCTCCGCCAGCACCGAGGGACCTCAGCCGGGGTGCGAGAGGCTCCCCCGCCCCCAGGATCTGCCGGACACGGACCCAGAGACCCCCCACTCCCCAGCTGAGGGACCACCCCCCCCGCCCTGGTGCGGGGCAAGGGCTGTGCAGAGCCCTCATCTCCCCCGGGCGATCCCACGGGCAGGGTGGGCGCGGCAGCCGGGCTTGTCCCCCCTCCTCTCCTCCCCCCGGGAGCTGCTCGCGGGTGGCTTCGCCCCAGCCATTGTTCGGGGAGGACAAAGCCTGGGCATGAGCTGGGACAATGGAACCCGCAGGGACAGGGCACCCTCAGGGACAGGACCACCTGCCCCTGCCCGTGGTGGGGCCGCTGGCCAGACCCGATCCAGGCAGGAGCAGCCTGGCACCGCCTGCCATGGGAGCTGTGCCCCTGGAGACCCTGGGCACCCCCTCGGGACAGGTGCACCCCCTTCGCTTTCCACTCCAGGACACACTTGGCTTCTCCCCTCTGCAGGGATTCGGGGCTGAAAACGGGAGTTTTTCAAGGACCAGCTGTAAATGCGGGAGTGGGGCTGTGCACAGGGGGGGTCCCCTGAGCTGGGTCCTCCACCTTTGGGCACCAGAGCCCTCCTAAGATCCCAGGTCCTGTGCCCTGGCACAGGGCTTTTCCCTTGATTTGGATTTTATCTGGACTGCCTGATTCTGTAGTTTGTGGAAAGGGAGATGGCAGTTTGCTGTTTCCCTCTGGACAGTAAATCTGGATTGTGACCCGCTGAGGCTGGACTGGGACAGAGAGCTGGGGATTGCTTCACCCGTGCCTTGCACCACAGCCAGAGTTACCTGGAGATGTTGATCTTTTATATTATAGGTTTTTTTATTTGTTTATTTACTTTTTGGTTTTGGCTGGCGGCGAGTTGTGGTTTAGGTTCAGATGCCGAGGGGTGGCCCGTGCTCCCGGGGATGCTTTGTGGGAACGCAAGAGGAAAAACACCTGGTTCTTGGTATTTTGTTTTTACCTTAAAAGAGCTGCCTGTGCCGGCTCCTGTCTCTCCCTCTGTTCCACCTGCTCCGTGGGTGTGAGTCCTGCTCCCCATCCCGGCTGGAGGGACTGAGGGCAGCCGGAGGGAGGGGAGGAGCAGGGGAAGGAGGAAAACTGCCTTGGCCTCTGGAAAAGGGGATGAAAAAACAAATAATGGGGGGAAAAAAAAAGCAAAACGTGTCTTGTGATTTGCTGTGTGTGACCGACACCCCTGCAGCCAGTGCAGGGGCACCAGGAGGGCGGGCTGGGGGTGCCGGTGCCCCAGATCTGAGGGTGCCCCAGATCTCGTGTCCCTCTCCAGGTCCTCTGCCAGGCTGGGGGAGGGCAGGTGGTGGCATCAACTTGCTGTGCCAGGGCTTTCCCAGCCTCGGGGGAGTGCTGGGTCAGAGCTGGTGCTGGGAATGGCCCCAAAACCCAACGAGCCCCCCCAGGGGCTTCCCAAGGCTTTGTCTGGGAGGGGCACAGGAGTCCCCAAAGGCGGCGGCTCTTCCCCCCTCCCAAAGCCCCCAAGGACCCCAGCGATGCATCCGAGCCCCCCACCCCTCTGCAGCCCAGAGCCTTGGGGGGGAGTCACTACCTGGGGGTGCAGTGGCTGTGCTCTCTGGGCTGCAGGGGGTCTGTAACCCCCCAGCCTCCCCCACGGGGGGCACGCGGCGGCAAAGGAGACCCCAGAGCCAAGGACGCGGACAGAGCTCGGTTATTTTCTCTTGCTGCTTTTTGTTGTTGTATCCACTGAAATACAATCACGATATATATATATATTATATATATACTTCTTAAATTACACAATCGATGTACAAAAACCGGGGTGCATTGCTGAGACAGGTGGTCGGTTGGGTCTTTTCTGACTTTGTGTTTTTTTTCTGGTACCTGGCAGGGGCCGGGGCGGCTCCCGCCCACCATGCCCAGCACACGGTGCTTCCACGAGAACACTGGATCCCTGGGGCCAAAAAATTCACGAACCAAAGGAGGGGGCGGGACAGGAGCGGGAGGAGCGTGCAGGAAGCCGATGGCATCGATGCTGCTAAGGGTGATGGTATGGAAAAAAATGAGAGGTGATCTGTAGGGAAGAGCTCGGGGTGACAAATGCACCCGAGGCAGAGGGGTGGGGTGGCCGAGCTGGGGGCAGCGCCTGTGGGGACTGTGGGGCTGGTGCCCACACTGCAGCCCATGGCAGAGCCCAGGGGAGGGGGGCAGAGCCCCTCGGGGACGAGCAAAGTGCAAAGCCTCTGGCCATTCCCCTGCCTTGGCCTGCCTTGTTTTCAGCCGTCTTCACCAGGCAGCTGCTCTGCCCGGGCTGGGTCTGCTGCCTGTGCCAAGCCCTCCTCCTCCTCCTCCTCCTCATCCTCTTCCTCCTCCTCCTTCTCTTCTTCTTCCACCTCCACTGGCTGCAGCTCCTGCTGGTGTCCTGCAAAGCTGGATGATGCTCATCCCCCCTCCCTCATCTGCTCCTGCCTCTCTTCAGGAAGGGGGTGGATGGAGACCATCCCCAGCCATGTCCAAGCCAGTCCTCACTATCCCAGGCTGGGTGTGAAGGTGCTTCCAGCAGCACTGGGCTGTGCTGAGTCCTTCTCTGGACAGCGCTGGATTTTGGGGCCATCTCACCTGGATCTGGTGTGTGCTGGATACCTGCCCTCCTGAAGGGTGGTGCTGCTCCCTGCAGCACAGGCCAGGCATCAGCTTGGGAAGAGGAGGAAGCTGAGGAGATGCCACCAAGCTCCACGGTGGGGCTGGTCCCACCTCACCTGGGCATCTCAAGGATGGCCGTGGGGCTGAAGGGGAGCAGTCATCCCCTTCCTCGGGGTGGGAGGATGAACAGGGGAGAACATGGAAACACCAAAAAAAAACCCGGAGTCAGACTCCAATCCCTCTCAGTTTTCTGGGATGAATTTGGTTGGTCCCAGGAGCTTCGGCGCCGTGCATTTCAGAACAGTTCCAGCCAATCAGAAGGCGGCTCATGATTTCAGTATCTTTAAAAACCAACCAATCAGGAGCTCTCACTGGTTGGGCTTTAAGATCTTGAGGTATCGGCTTTTCGCTCGGAAAAAAAATCAACTAACGTAGACGGACGGACAACGTCACCTTTCGCTTCACGGAATCTTAGAAGAAAGCGACTATGCAAAATACTCTTCGGAGACAACTCTTAAAAAAATAAAAGCTTGGTCGGAAAATATGTCTGAATCTCTAAGTATGAGGAGTGGAGGACCAGACGGCAGAATGGCTGGTTGGCTGGTGGAGAGATGGAGACAACGGAGGGTGGATTTATCTGCTGATGGTGACGAGGAGCACACCACAAGACTTAGATTGCCTCCACGTAGTTGGCGGGGTAGAGCCCTAACTGCCCGTTGTCCAAGCGCCCTTTGCACCATCCCTGCTCGTCTTCCTCGCCGAGTTTGGTTAGTTCATCACCTGGAGAGAAAGGTGGAAGGGAAGAGCTTGTTGCAGGTGCTGGAGATTCTCCTACCCCCTGTTTCTCCCCAGGATGGAGCTGCTGGGGGTTTCTAGGACTGATCCTGAGCACGTTGGTTTGTAGGGTAGGAAAGCAAAGGGTGACCTGAGACCTCACGTGCCCTGTCCCACCATCACTCCGGTCCCACCCGCGCTTGGGCTCAGCTTCTGCTTTTTCCTTTCTGACAGATCAACTTTTTGAAGGGCCGGGCTAACTCAGGAATTATTAGAGGGATTTCACACCGAAACGTGGGGGACCCACAGCTCCAGCAGACGGTGGAGCGAGCGCACCTGCTTTGAAGCTGAGCTCGTCCTGCTCCTGCCCGTCGTAGTCGTACAGAGCCCGCACCCTCACGCCCTTCCCCTCCTCGTCGAAGGGGTTGGTGCCGCCGTTGGCCTCGCTGGTGTTGAAGGAGTTGCTGCCCTCGTCGTCGGACCACTCGGCGCTGTAGGTCTGCCCGCGGTCGTGGCTGCTCACGCTGGGTGAGGGAGGAGGGGGAGGAGGTGTCTGTCACCGAGGACACCCCGCACCCCCCGACGCCGGCAATGCCAGCATGGGCAATGCTGTGCCCGTCCCAGGGCACCTCCTCCCCGCGCTGCCCTCACCTCCCACGCTCGCCCGCCAGAGCCCCCGACTCGCTGGCGCTGCTGGCGTTGGTCAGGGTCACCCCCTCGCCCTTCTTCTGCTTCTCCTTCCGTGTTATCGTGTGCGTCAGGTCCGGGTTCCACTCCTGCAACCACAAAGCAGCCGCCCCCTGAGCACTCACCCGGCCCCCAGGGCCGCCAGCGCCCAGCCGGGGTGCCCAGCTGGGGTGCCCAGCCGGGGTGCCCAGCCTCACCTCAAACTGGGGCCAGTTCATGGGCATCCCGGGGCCGCTGGTGCTGCGGAACCACCGCAGATCCTCCTGCGCGTCCGAGGTGCGGATGGTCTGCTCCAGCTCCCGGTACACGTTGGCGTAGCTGCGGGGAGAGACGGGGTCAGGGGGCTGTGGGAGCTGGGGCTGTGTCACCTCCTCCAGGGCACTGGGAGGCACGAGGCTCCCACACAGCCTCCAGTCACTCCGGTACCTTTTGGTGACCATTGTGTTGGCCAGAAACCCCCTCCCTACCTGCTGCTCTCGGCCAGGTTCAGGTGCCTCTTGATGTCCAGGAGCATTTCCTTGAGGAAGTTGAGTCTCTTCTCCTCAAACTGCTGGCACTGCTCGAAGACCTGCTCCATGCTCTCGATGTACTGCGGGGTGCACTTGTTCAGCTCGTCCAGCACCTTCTCGTACTTCTCCTGGGTCTGCAAAGGTGTAGGAGGGACCTCATTTGTACCTTGAGCACCCCAGAGGTCATTTCTGGATGCTGAGAGATCTGTTTAGGGGTCACCAGGCTGGGGAGCCCAGACTGACCCAAGAGCCTCTGTGGGTAGAATCAGCCTTGTTGCTGGAGAGATTTTGCCCCAGTAAGAGGGATAAATCCCTGTCCTGCTCAGACTCCCCTGGGGACTGCGTGCAAGTCCTCACCCTTCTACAGGAGCACAGGGATGGGAAAATGGGAATGGATGGTGGGCAAAGGGGTGTGGTGGCCCTTTCCACTGGTATCCTCTGCTTGATGCCTCGTGAGCCCTGTGCAGGGCAATGGCTCGCACCTTTTGCACGTCTTGCTTGCACTTTTCCACTTTGTCCTGGAGCTTCTTCTGCTGCTCTGGGGTGTTGGACTGATCCGCCTTGCTGTTGGCTTCCCGGGTCATGGCCAGCTTCTCCTCCTTGCATGCCAGGTGATAGGCTTTCTTGGCTGTCTCCAGCTGTGGGGAGGAGAGGGAAGGGACATCAGAGAAGCGGTCACAGCCCCCTGTCCCTCCCTCTGCCTGCACGGAGGTGCCACCTGCATCTCCCAGCCTGGACCAGGCACCCAGAGCCGGAGCTGGGAGATGCAGGGATGCCCCAGGACACTCTGTGCTTCTCTCACCTCCTTGAGCTTCTTGGCCCAGGGCTTCTGGGCTTTCCGGAAGCCATCCTCAGCCTCCTTGGCTTCCTTGAAGCCCCCCATGATCTGCTTGTGGTAGGCGTCCTTCTGCCAGTTCTTGACCTTCTCGAAGTCGTCGTTGAGCAGGCTGTTCTTCACCTCCTGGTGCAGCTCACTCACCTTGTCTGCCTCCGTCATGATGGCTGCCCAGGCCTTCTCCAGGCTGCCATACTGGGGACCTGGGGGCCGAGGGGACACTGGGGGTCACTCCACAGCCCTCACCCCTCCACCCCTGCCAGGGGCAGCTGGGATGGTGCACGGGCACCCGGGTGTCCTGGAGGGACCTTCTCCCTGGGGGAGCCACGGTACCTTTCTCGATGAGCTGCCTCCACCTCTTGGACCAGTCAGTGAGCTGCTGGGCGTAGGACTTCTCGATCTTGGCCCGCTCGTGCACACAGTTCATGAGGTCGTTGCAGAGCCGGTGCCCGTCGTCGATGCGCTTCACCGTGCGCTTGTAGTTGCCCACCTGGGAAAGGGGGGGACAGGCAGCTGTGGGAGCTGTGGCCGGGCTCCCTGGCTCAGCCCA